TACTGGGGGATACTGGGACACACTGGGGGGAACCAGGGGGCACTGGGAGGTTATTGAGGGATGCTGGGAGGGCACTGGGAGGGACTGGGTGATTAACTGGGGATTACCAGGACAAACGAGGGGACACTGGGAGGTTACTGGGCCATACTGGGGGTTACTAGGTGCTCACTGGAGGATCATTGGCCTATATTGGGGGAAAGTGGGAGGTCACTGGGAAACACTGGGTGGTCACTGGGGGGGTTACTGGGCCATACTGAGAGACACTGGGAGGTCACTGGGCTATACTGGGGGCACTGGGATCCCCTTACCCAGATGTGGTTCATCTCCTTGCAAAGATTTTGGGCGGCACCGTCGAGACCCCTCCCCTGAGGGCTAGGGAACCCCTTGAGCCCCAATGATAGCCTTTAGGGGACCCTCGCGTCTCCCTGCCTGTGGTGTCTCTGTGTGCTGAGTTTTGGGGGTCTCTGGGGTTCGGGGGGTCATTCGTAACCGATTTCCCTGCGGTCGGTCCGCCCAGCCGGCAGGGGGCGCTGTGGTATGAGCAGCAATGGCGGCGGCGCCGCGCGAGGCCTTACGGGAGTTGAAGTTCCCTCGTGGAAACTCCGCCAGCGCCTGCGCAGTGCAGCCATGGCGGTTAAACAGCACCGCCCGGAGGATTCCAAGGCCCCCAGCCCTTTCAGGGACCCCCTAAACCCCTTCAGGCACCTTCGCCCTCCCCTCTGAGCGCCCTCAGGACACCAAATCCCCTTCGCGACCTCCCGAGAGCCCCTCACGGACCTCAAAACCTCCTCGGAAACTCCTGAGCCCCTCCTCTCCACTCTGCCGAGCCCTCCAGCCTTCCCGCCCACAGCCGCGCTCCCCGCAGCCCCCGAGCGCATCCCCAGACTCACCGCAGGCCCCGCCGGGTCTCCCAGAGTCGAAGGTTCCTGTGTCGCCGCCATCACTTTCCCGCCAGAGACCCCCGCCCCGCTCAGCCAATCAGCGCGTGATGCCGCTCCCCGCCCGCCCCGCCCCCTTTCCCGCGCTAGGCACGCCGGGAGTTGTAGTTGCAGCGGCTCAAAGCTCCCAACTCCCCCAGACTCAATTCCCCACGGGCGTTCCTGGGGCAGAACGGGGCAGAACCGGGGCGGGGACGGGACGGGGATTGGCTGGAAATCATTAGAAAAACTGTAACCCCTTCGTTGGAAGGGAGGGTTGTGGGTTTGTATTCCTGGAGCCTCATGAAAACCAGAAAAAAATTGTCCCTCAGCAGTGTCTGATTTTAAGGGCACCTTTTAAGACCATGAAGCCTCTTCTGACCCCCCTGTTGGGTGGCCCAGCCAGCCCCTGTTGGGAAATGGAAGCCTCAAATTGAACATAGCACCAAATTTTAGGGAACAGAAGGAGCTCACAAAAATCCTCCCTGACAAGATGAGGTGACTGCAAATAGCACAGCTGATTCTCCCCCTTCTGTGGTTCAAGGGGCACCCCCACACTCAGAGCAATTGCAGGATGGGGGTTTCCTGATGCCTCAGCTGAGCGGGAAGGGGCAGTTTGGAAATATCGTGCTGTGGCTTTCCAGGGACATCCAGGAGACAAAACAGTCCCCGAAGGAGAAGGCAGGGCACAGGCAGGAGAATCGGGAGCACTTTGGAGGGGATTAACCCAGGAAGCTGAACCCTCTGACTCTGTCTATGTTTACAGGGATTCTTTTGCTGTGTTCAAAGGGTGCACTGAGTGGCTCCCCTGCTGGGACAACGATGACTGGGAAGTGAATTAAATCCTTGCTTGGCAAAAGGAGAAATGGCAAGAAATTCTTGCTTTAGCAAAGAAAGGGAATTTTTTAGTCAGGTGGGCAGCCTCCCATCAGGAAAATGAAACTCCAGCTGGTCACTGGAACAACCAAGGAGATGAACTGTCCAGATCAGCCCCTCTAAGTGTAACAACTCCCCCAGAGAGCTGGCACAGACTGTGAGAATGGTGGCACTTCAAGCCACAGCACACAGGGGCACAGGACCTGTGCAGAGCAACAGGAATAGGGGATGGGCAGTGACTCAAGAAATGGGCCCCACCTGCACCTCCTCATGTGAGCAGTGCAGAGCCCGACTGGAGCATCACTCTGTAGAACAACCCTCTTACGCAGAAGAGACAGAAAAGGGCTGTGGGACACTCTTTGACCCATTATACATGCCAGAGAGTAAATATGCCACAGTTTTTAGTCCTCCCTGGTGTGTAGAACTTCCTAACATAACAAATATAACTCCAATTAACTGGAAAAACTTAATGTAGGCATGGTCTGTGCGAGCATTTTTTGAATCCAAATTTACAGAACCCAAAGTTACTGTGCCTCAAGTAGAAGACGTTCCTTTATTCAATTGCTCAAAGGTTATAACATGAAAAGAAGGACCAGGAGATCCTCCAGAAATATGGGTTTTGCTTAGAATTAGAACATTGATAAGGGACATGTCTACTTGCTGGAGACACCCCTCTAAGATGACATTGCAAAAGAGATTAGCCTTTGATCTGTTACTCTTAAAAGAGCAAGGTGTGTGTGGAATGTTCAATTGATCAGAAACTGAATGCTGGGTAACAATTTATAATGCTTTGATCTCCACTGAGGAGGCACAAAAAACAAGGACAGAGAGAAGTAACTACACTAAAAATTTGTTTTATGCAATACAACCGCAAGAAGCGTTGGATGGATCAGGGGTTACTGACATCCTGGAGTCCTTTGGACTCACTGGATGGGGACAATGGATAGCACCAATTGGAATGGGAATTGTCATTGGAATTGTGTTCCTAATTATTGGCATTGGCCTGGTTAAATGCAGGATAAACCATTCGCTGGTTTCCTTCACTCCCTCTGTTCGCTGTATTCGTGTCACCAGTGCTGAAGGAACTACACTGATGTGTCCAGAAACAATGTCGAGTCATTGGGGTAGACTGGAACACACAGATACTATAGAAGTACCAAAAATTGTGTTTCTCCATTGTTACTGCCCGTCAGAAACTTCCTACCAAAAGTTCTCTGTCAGCTCTCTGTCACAAGTTCTCACCAGGACTTCCCATGGCACTTTTCCTGCCAAAAGATCCTGTTATTGTTTATGATTCTCATATCTCCTCGGACATCTGAACTGGCTACGTGCCAAGAAACCATGTACAACCTCTTTGGAACACTATAAAAGTTGAGGACAAATTTTGGAAAATCAGGGAGAGGAAAGGGAGAAGAACTGGTGACTGTAGCCGAGAATCTCTGCCCACCTCCCCTCCCCTTTTCTCCGCCACCGCGTGCTGCCTGCCTGCCACCGGAGACTGGAACTGTGCCGGCCTGGAGAGAGCTGAGACCACCGTGCCACATGTGGGAGTTCTACCTTGTCCTTCCAGCCTTG